ATCATTGCAAATAACAGTTTAAAGCCTCTATTACTGAACAATTTGTTATAGTTTCTATCAGAATCTTCAAGAGGAAATAATGGAGATAGAATTTCATGAGTTTGCTCGAGGAAAGGCAACCATCTCACCAATGGACTTTGCTCGACTTGTTTTAAGGTAGTTTTCTCGTGATAGCAGTTTCTAAATCCTTGGGATTGTTGCCTTCATTTGAAACCTTCAAGGTACACCGTTGTTCATCGAGACGACTATCATACATACATAAATCGGGTTAAGGAGCGTACATCTCCAGATGATATGGTGTGTTTTGCACAATGAATCTTGAAAACTCTCTCATTCATCTGATTCAGGGTGTAACGCTCAGTCAGTGGTCCCGCTTTTCTCTGTTTCTTAATAACCTTGAAGAATTTCAAACAGCTGTGCGACTGTACGCAAACGCCGATATGCCTGTTTCTCCTGCTGAATTTGCTCGTGCTGTTCAGAGCACAATAGGTATGTCATTTTTGTTTATAGCCTTCGGTTGTGATTTATAATAGTTGCTTGCTTTTCTTCAGTTTGGTTTTAATCCAGGCATCTAAACTTCAAGTCAAAACTTTGCATTATTCACCCTTAAACAGAATCACTTTCTTCTTTGACCGCATAAACATTTGGGGGTAAAGCTGTGCATGAAATGACATTCAATTTTGTAAAAAATAAGACTTTCAGGCGAACCGCTCGATCCCTATTTAGTAACTCTGATATTTCGCATTTTTGACGCTAATGATGACCAAACTCTTAGTTATCCTGAATTCTTAGCCGTGATGAATGATCGACTGCATAGAGGACTCAGGGTATGTTTTATGTATTCTCTTGATGGTATTTTCAATATTACTATTCGCTCATTATTCCGATCTAATGCTTAAGGGAAAAATAGAGAAGCCTTGGGGATGGAAACCATTCAGGAACTGCGTCATCAACGAATTATCACGATAGGCATTTGGCTTTGGAACACGTCTCTAGGATTCCACAATCTAGTATATGCTATTTCTTTCACCCGCACTTCCAAGGCAAGTACAATGGTAACATTAAGGAACCCCTACTGTGGCGATCGGCTACGTGCAACTGTCGCTCATTCAAAAGGAATGGACATTTGAGATCCAGTAGCATTGAGCGAAAACAGAGAGGACTCCTTTTTGTATCTGTATAGAAATGTGTAAACAAAAATTCTTGCCTTATTATTGCATCGGTCTATTGTCTCAAATCATATTTTGTCAATATTGTAGTAGACTGATCTTTCCAGTGAGATTTTTGCTAATAAGAATCTATGAATCGTAAGGTGGCTGTATAAATTTTATGGCTCAAATTACTATATATGCATTGGAAATTGCCGCAAAACACCCAATCTGCCAACCCATCAAATTATTACGAACAAATTTTTTGTTCGGAAGTGGGTTTCTAGGCAAACAATTTTCTTGCCACTGAAGCAGTTGAGAGTTAGAAATGCTTTCCTTTCAAGAGAAGTATGTAAGGTCGAAATGTCATTCTGATTCAAAATGACGTCAGTACCATTTGATGTAACTTGAAGTGTTGACTCTAAATTTACATTCCATATTTGCGCAACATTTGTCTGTAAGGAGTTATGGACTTCGTCCTGATAAAAAAGTGGCTTTCATGAGAATAAAAATGCTCAAAAATTCAGGCTTGACCCAAAACAACGGAAAGGTTGAATATTGATGAAAACGTCCTCGATAACAAAATAACCCTATGTTATTGTATGTGGATTT